AGAGCAGATAGCCCTCGTGTAGCTTTGCGCGAAACTCCAAAACAAACAAACTACCTAGTGTGAGAGATTGTGATAGCTCATCTACAGATAGTGACTCAGAAGATGAACTTTTGGATGAATCTAAATCAGCAAACAATTTTTCCGAATTTCTTCTTGAACATGACTTGACCCCTACCTTTCCCACACGCTACAGCTTGTGGTCATGGATGGCATAGAAAGAAAAAGCTGGACTACTGCTGAAAATAATTTCCAAAGCATCAGCCATCGTGTCCTACATTCGAAAATCTACGCAAGCAACTGATCTACTTGAGGGAGAGGCCAGAGTTCAGTTGGTAACACCAACACAATGGAACTCGGAAATTAAGATGATTAAGTCTTTATTGAAGATTCCCCAGTAGAAGTTGGATAATCTAGACACTGGTACATCGAAACCTACTTTCACGATCGAACTGTGCTTGTTGATTTAATGACAATACTGACATCTTTTGAAGAGGCAACAGATTTCACGCAGGGTCAGAAGATTCTTATTTCCAGTTATGTAATGCCATGTGTTTATGGACTGATGACTTGAGACTGACAACGTGCAGTCCAGATATAGTTTTAATCTTGTCTCTGCACTGGAAAATCTGTTAACGCTCGGCTGACTCAGTATGAGCAACACTTCGTCTTCTGCTTGGCTGCGGCATTGGTTCCTAGATTTATACTTGACTGGTGTTTCACTAGACCTATGGTCTATGAATCCAATCGATTGTTCCTGCATCAAGAAGTCAAGAAAGTTTCCTTAACAAAAGGAACCCCCCTCGCAGTAGAAGTAAGCTCTTTAGTCTCTTTGCTGCCTCCAAGATACCAGCCACCTCATCTTCAGAGGATACAGAGATCAACACCTACCTCGATGGTCCTTGCATTCCTGAAGAAAGCAACTCTATAGATTATTGGAAGATCCATGAAAAACCTTTCCTACCCTATCTCTACTAGCCAAATGCTACCCGAGTGTTCCAGTATCATCTGTCCTCGTTGAGCGTTTATTTAGCATTGGAGGCAAAACCCTTAGACGTGATCGCTGCCGAGTCACTAACAAGACATTTGAGAGATGTTCATAAAGAACAATGGACAGTTATAATATCTATAAGTCTCTTTTAAAATATATTTTTGTTCTCAAACTTTTTATTGCATTTGAAAAAATAAGTGTATTGAAATGTTATTATTTGTTCACATTTTGTTTCAGTTTCTAAAAAGTTTGTTTTATAAAATAAAATTATTGAAATTTTATCGTCTTCTGTTTTATCATTATTGCATATTACCTGACAAAGTATTCACAAATGTATTTCTGATTACATTCCTATGTGTTCGCATTCGAACACTTAACATTTTTCCTGTATTCGTATTAATAAAAATATGTAATATTCGTATTTGTATTTGATTAGTGATCTCAAATATATGCCTCATACCCATATTTAGAGAGAAAATAAGGTAATGGTGTTTTAATTCTATGTAACGCCACTGAACACCATTTTGTGTCTGGAGCCATAGCATCCAATAGCACTGGGAATATTTCTTCTGTCAGACATATTCAAAACAACAGATGCAAAACTAGAACAAAGCAGTCGTATCGAAAAGATTAAAAAACTGTTTTAAGAATTGGCAACTTTTTTTTCGGTTTTTCAGCAGAATATACGTGTTAGTGATTATTCAATGTAGTCAGAATAAAGGGGTTTATTATATGCAAAGAATGATTTTTTTTTGGTACATAACACGTGATTAACGCATAACAGAATTTACTGTTTTTCGTACAAATGCTCAGAAATGTGATGATACATTTTTGTTAATTTAAGTTCTAGGCATGCGCAGCTCAAAACCTGAATTTTTAGCGCCTGAACCCCATAATTTCTATTTCATCACATATGCCTTATTGCATTCTTTTTCATCTTGATTTTCTGTTTTGTTTGTCAGAATAGCACTGCGTTTCAATTTACTCGTTAATTTAAAATTATTCAGAAATTAATTCGACTTTATTAGAGCTCTTCAAGAAACTTGATATGTACTTTTCTAGTTTTTTTTAACACTCAGGTATAATTTACAATAATGTGTCGCGTATAATCTTAGGTTTGAAAATCATATCTTAGTAATCAATAAACACGTGCAGTTCATGAAGAGTAACACCGGAATGTTAGAAAGACAACGATAAATTGATTTGGTTTTTAATATTTGAAAAGATACTGATTTTGACAGAATACTTCCAAGTGTAAGCGGTGTGTTTCCGAGATTAGGGCGGACATTACGAAGTCTGTTTCCACGATTTGTTATTCTAGTACATGTGGTTACTGTCTGGTTGGTTATTGATTTCTCGCTGAAATACGTACATAGCTCTAGATTGAATGAAGATATGTAGAAAGGCAATATGATTATATACGTGTCGGTATTATAATTCACACGTGATATTATAATTATTACTGTTTATGACCCCGAAGAAACTTTTGTAGTGAAAATTTAAGGTTATAGTTCAGAAGAGGGTTATTAAAACTGTGAAGGTTTCTCATTATATTTCGATTGACGTGATTTAAATCAAGACCTGTATAACTTTACCTTTTTTTTTTAATTTATTCTTATGCGGAACATAATTGTTTTTTTCTTTTAGTCAATACCATAACAAACTAAAGGAATTCTTTATAGGAAATGAGGATTTTGAATCTGTTTCAACAGATAGAATATCAGTGGAACACTTAAAAACACAGAGTTTTATCTGCCATTTTTTTAGCATTTTCGATGGTTGGATCTAACATCATGGTTAAAAGCAGCCTTTCCACCTGAAGAAGATAGGTGTTTTTTTTATATTTTTTCGTAATGTAATTTATCAAACTTTTTTTGGTCCTACCTGTTTTTTATTCTATCAATATTTGGAACACACATTTCCGCAAATTTATATTGCAGTTTCGAAAAGCATGAAAAATACAACTTTAATGTTATTTATGGGTGTTAACATTTTACTTCCTTATGTTCATAGACACATGGTCATACATACATATATACTGAATGTTAATATTTCTCGTGGCTATAATTAAATGAACTTCTAATTTTGAGATGCGTCCACGTGCTAAATTTATAATACTTTCTAAAATAAACCGTAACATATACCAACGCATGTTTACGATAGCACTTAAGCGAAGATACATTTAAACATTTAAGACTGTATGCGACAAGTGCGTATTGTGGGAATTTCTACGTTGTGAAGTCTGTAGACTTACTTCATAATTAAATTACTAAAGTACCGATGTCTCTTACGTTTCATATTTCAGCAACAGCCAGTGACAAGCGTAAATTTTTTTCTCAATTCTTATAAACAAATCGATTTTTCCGATGAAATGTCACAAAACATTTTTAGCCAAACTTGCGACACTTCTTGTGCAAGAATATGAAATAATAGTAAATAAATAAAACGAATATAAAACATTATCTATGAAGTACTTGTGTGTGTGTAAAGTTTCAGTGCTGAAATAGTATAAGCTTTGGTGGATTTCCATAAAATGAAGAATTCAATGCTGATTTATATTTATGGCTTAGATCGAAAGCTCGTAAACGTGAAGCTGTAACTTTTTGTAATCAAAAACGCATACGTGCTGTTTAGTTGATTTTCGTGAAAGTAGGTTATTATGACACTGTCTGTTAAAGTTCTAAACTTAGTTGGGTAATTTTCCATAATCATGAAATTCAGCGTTTAATACAGTATAACAAAAACAGTACGTGTTTCAAAATTGTCATGTATTATATAATGATTCTTCATTTTTTTGGATCTTAAAAAAACAAAACACAAAGACAAAACAGTATCTAAAAGTTTTCTGCTAGAGGAAGCGAAACATTTATGGTTTCCATAGTAATGTTTTCTTGGAGTGTAATTTACTTTTATTTTTATATACCCGCAATGGGCACACCAGAGATAGCCGATTATTTATCTTTTTCCTCCTCAACAAAAAAATGGCTAAAAATATTCATTCTCGTGTGTGTTGTAAAAACGAACATTCAACATTATTTATTGTTTATATTTTTGTTTATTATATATATATAGTTGTAGACAACAAGGTCTCTTTACATATTTTTGTAGCATTAACGAAGTGACGTTGAGAGAAGTTACTTCTTGGACAAAATCACAGTTGATGTTTCCAGTTGTCACTAGGTGGCAGTATAATTACATTATCGGGATCAGTATGTCAAAAATGAGTTTAAGCAGTGAATGCCTCAAATCACCGAGACTAATTAACATTGCTTTATACGAGAATCTTTTAAATTGTTTTCGTGTTATGAAAAAAGCATGATGATTATTGGAAAATGTATCATTTAACACACAAATCAAACACCTTAAAGACCACAGTACAAGTGTGTTAATTATATATATATATACATATGTATATTATATGCTGTTTCTTCAATTATTGTGAATAGGGACTTTGATAAAATCTGCCTCAAAACCATGTTGT